TGTTCAAAAGTGCCTCAAGTCTCTGAACCCTTCCCAGAGCTTAGGTCCAGATCATGTACCTAGTATTATTTTTAAAAATGTTCTGATATTCTGTGTTACCCTCTCACTGATCTGTTTAACAAATCTTTTTCCAGTAATATTGTTCCTGCTGTTTGGAAAGACATTAAAGTTGTACCCATACCTAAATCGTCTACTGGAGCATGTGTCAAATTTAGACCCATTGCTATTATCTCTCCTTTTTTGAAAACTATGGAGAAACTACTTTTACTTAGTCTTGTACCCTCTCTTAAATCCTTTAATGACCCAAAACAGTTTGCCTATAAGCACAGTAGAAGCACTTTAGATGCAGCTGCCGTCTTATATCATAACATTGCATCCAGTCTAGACAAAGGGGCTAAGTTTGTTCGTTGTGCCTTCCTAGACTATACATCTGCTTTTGACTCGGTCTCTAAGGGCATCTTGTTAAATAAACTTGCTGTAAGTCAAACAGAATGTCGAGCTGTTAACTGGTCACATTCTTATTTCTCAGAAAGAAAGCAGTACACCGTGTATAAAGGGAAGTCTACCACTTCATTACCTACTGAAGCTGGTGTCCCTCAAGGCGCTGTCCTTTCTCCTTTTCTTTTTCCTTCTTCTTACATGACTTGCCTCAGTCTGATGAAATAAACTTTGTGAAGTACGCTGATGATTTAACAGCTTCAATGGCCGTTAACTCCCTCCTAGATTGTACCAAAATAAATAGCTTTCTGTCGGAAGTCAGTAAATGGTCTGAGTCTAACGGTCTTAAACTGAATCCTTCTAAATGTCAAACTGTTAATTTCAGCTTAAGATGTAAACGACAGTTAAAAGAAGCCGTCGATTCTCATGACAGTTGTAAGATTGATGACAATGATATAGGAATTAAATCAGAAATTAAGTATCTTGGAATTATTCTCTCTTCCGATCTCTCCTGGTCGTCCTATGTCTCAGCGATCTCCAGTAAAATATTCCGCCTGACATTTTACATTAAGAAGTTAAGGCACTCGGGTATAACTCAGCCCCTCCTCTTACAGTTCATAAACTCTTGCATCTTACCTATTCTTCTGTATTGTTCACCTTTATTCTTTCCTGCTTTGCTTAAAAAGGACTTTGTCACAATTCGTAGAATGCTGAAGACTGTCAGTAGGATGAGTGGTGTCCCAGTGGACTATATAGTTAACGTCGTTGTCGATAGACAGTTGACTTTGTGCAGTAAATTCGCCAAAGGGATTTTGTCTGACTTGGAGCATCCACCTCACCCTCAGCTTTCACCTTGCATCTCCTCAGGTAGAACAAGAAGTAACTTCAGAAAACTGTATGCTCGCAAGTCTAAGTATAAAAATTCTATGATACCATACTTGGCACGTATTTTATGTGATGAAAATAGCGTCAGGCAAGAATTGACTAACCTTTTTCCATTTAGTAAATAAACAATTTCCTCCATCCATCCTTATATACCTTCAAGTTTTACCTTTATTATTTCTATTATATTTATGGTCCTGTTGATTCTTTGTTTTCACTTTCATAACTGCAAACACCAACTTATCTCTATGGCTAATGTAATCTTTGTTTCTTCCCTCACCATATCATGTAAAGAGAACACTATATTTAATATTTTTAATCATGCAAGGATTTGTATACCGCATCGACAATACTGTGTGAAACAAGCCCACGGCAATTTTCACTTGTATTATTATCATTACCTTAGCTGCTATCATTATTATTATTTCCATTTTATATTCTGCATGTTTTTTATTTTTTTATATTAACCCTATTGTAAATGTAGAAAAATTTTCTATGTGATTAATTTTATTTATAATTTGAGGAAATTAGATGCAATATTGTGATTAATGCTGAAGATTCCATTCCGTATCACAAGTACTGTTTTTGAAATAAAGTAAATCATTATTATTTTAAAAAAATATGCGTTTCGTCAGGAATGTTTGGACACTTTAGACTTTTTTCTGCCTGCTGATTTAAAGCCACTGTATAAGTGGGCACAGTATTCAAATTTGGGGCGAATACATATCTTATATATAGCCAATCTGACTTCTGGAGTGTAAAAGTTGCGTAGCACAAAGCCGGTGAGACGTTTACAATCAGATACCACCTTATTTGCATGTTCAGTAAAGGTTAGACCTGAGTATGTTACACCGGCATCTGTGACGGTGTTCGCGGATATATCACTAACCTCGATATAACTTGGACCAAGCCCAAAATCTCCCTTATTAGGTTCACATAATCTTAATCTGTCTACAGATCAAGCCTTAATCTTTCCAAAACTCAGAGAAAACCTACCACATACCCCACTTCGTTAAGCATATTTTTCCCACGACTTCAATGTTATTTGTTAACGTTTCACTAACTTGTTCGATGAGCTCCCCAGTGTCATTTGTACGGCCACACTGTTGGTACTTACTGTTCCTTGAAGTTTAACTTGGCTGAAGGCCACTGTCTTTAGTGTTTTATTATTTTTAGGCCAATAACGAATGAACAGTCCGCTGACCCTATGTTATTAAGCAACTCGAGTCATTTCACCTAGCCGGTTATCTATTATAACGTAATATTTACGAACGCCGTGTAAAAAACCGCAGAGTAGTCTTAATTTATATGCATATAATTCAGTGTAACCCATTAGTTCGTGAAGTAATGGTGAAACTTTTATCGAGTGCGTATTTTTCTTTCTGACATTTGAATTCGTCAGAGAACTAAGAAATTACATTTCGACGTATCTTTGTGGTATGATTTGATTTTCTAGCTGCCAACAGTCTTCGTTATTGTATGCGCTTAATTTCGTAAACTGAGGTCATTTTCAAGACATTTTCAAAGCAGCGGTGTGCCCCACATTTCAAAACAACTGTGAAATATGATAATTTGGTTTACGGTGTAGTTACATCAGACATGATCATGCCGGTAAAAACGGCATGCTAATCATGGAAACGATTAATTTATGTGAAAAACTATGATTATTACTTCTGTCTTCTCTATGTTCACTTGAAGTTCTGTCTTCGATGTTCCTTCTGCCAACTTGTGGTTCTCACCTGGAAGCATTCCAATTTGCGCGACATTGGGAATCAATCGTCTGCAAAGTGCAAATCTTCTAGAGTTCTCTCATCAGTCCAACGAATGCCTGTCCTTTCACAATTAGGAATACCGTCAGTGAACGAGGACACCTTTGCTTCACTCCTGCTTTCACCGCAATTGATTCGCTTTTTCCGTTGTGATTCATGTGACACAGTGTTTTCAAATAGTTTGTGAGTGAGGCTGGAGGGTTCTTCGGGACAAACACCATTGAAGGCCTTTACAAAGTCAATGAATTGAGGTAGAAAGTTGGCCACCATTCTATACTCTGTTCGACGCTGATGCGTAGAGTAGAAATTTAACCAGCAGTTGATTCGCTTTTCCTGAAGGTGCCAATTGTAGGAAGTCCATTATTTTATCATTGTCTGTAGCTACTAACGAAGCAATGAGTCAACCGTGAAACAGTTCTACAAGGCTTTCGGGAGTTGGGCATTACGCAGTAGTGTGAATGTGGCTGCGTACAAGAGAATGAATAAGAAACTCGGAATTGAAATCGCTAAAATTTTACGACCTCAATAACGTTTGGAGGTTCGGTGTCCACATACCATGAAGGTAGGTGCAAGATCCTGATATTATTGATATAAGTATAAAACTTGGGCACTGAGGTAGAGTGTAACTCCATTATGGATAAGATTTTATTTTGATAAATCACACAGTGTTACACAGTAATTTTAACTGATGACGTTTCGAGCACAAATTATTGCTCATAATCATATCAAGTTACTCACACAACTTTTTCCTTCATTTATGTGTGAGTAACTTGATATGATTATGAGCAATAATTTGTGCTCGAAACGCCATCAGTTAATATTACTGTGTAAGACTGTGTGATTTATGAAAACAAAATCTTATCCATAATGGAGTATTTCACCGACAGTTGGGTTTCGCCCTCGACTTGTAATTTAATGCTAGAGGGATATTGAAGCAAATGTATCGATCTCTTGTTGGGTCAATTAGCCCTGAGGTAAACACATGCGCGGTAGCGCACATGTTCACTTTCAGACTCAAAGTGCGTATAACCACAAGGAACTGCAATCGCGAGTCAGTGACTCCATGTTTGAGGAAGTCGGCATTGGAGTATAGAAGCCATGTTCTTCACTGTCCTAACAGAGGGAAAAGAACTGGATAGGGTTTCCAGTTAGTTGGATACGAAAAGAATGAGTGTCTGATCAATCGTATCAAACAGAATCTTAAAACTCACCTGAATTATATCAACGTTTACCAAATTGGATGAGGTTCGTTATAGGTCTCACTAGTCTGGAAGGGGAATCGGATGGCGTTTACACGATGTGTACCCATAGCCCCATAGTATTTGTTCTATGTTGATGAAAAGCAAATCAATCTGTCTGACTGGCCATCCAAACACAAAATATATCGGGATCGAGATCGAATTGTGATGACTGCTTAGCCAGCTAGGGTTTGTGCACGAACAGACAAACAAAAACCAGAGCTTCAAAAAACAGCGTATATGTTTGATTATGAACCTTCAGCTCAGTGAGCCAACTTAAACAGTAAGGGTCACCATCTGATGACAAGTTACGAATGCTGTAGGCTGTCAATTTTGGGGTATTTTATGCCGCTACAACTTCATTCTAGTTGGTGAACCCCAGGTCTCATTTAAACTGATTGGCGTGAAAAAGCAACAGAATTCACACAAACTGTACCTGAGTCAGAGAAAATTCGATTACGCTTCAAACTCACTGATATCAGTTTGGGTGGTGAACTACAGAAAGCAGTGAAAAGAAGGGAGCGCTAACACCTTAGACAGAGGAAACACGAGAAGTTATTTGGGGTCGCATTAAGTTGAATCGCTTCCCTTTACATTCACCAAGTCATTTTTGACCAACTTTAAAAAAATATTTTATGAAATATGAGTGTTGCGAAATCTGTTGGGCCTTCACCCGAATTCGAATCTTCGTCCTTGGACAAGGCTGATCATAGCTTGCGTTTAGCGCGATCTACGACATTTGCGCGTGAGTTTGATGATAGGTGAGTTATTTAGGCCATCAAAGCAAGGTGACTAGTGGGGTTGAATTTATGTCAGTGAATTCAAGTAGTTTTGTATTGTTTCTCACATAGTCTGACTCGTTATGTCCTTGGTTTCTGTGAGTATATTATCGAATAATATTAATCGATAATATAGTATAATGTTCCTCACTTCATAGACTTCAGCTGTAAGTATGTTTACGCTACAAAAACGTTATTTCAAACACCTTCCCACTTTCCCCGTGTTTCCTATATATTCCCCACATTACCCATGTCTACGGAAAATAGCTGCCCACTTTGCCCATTTCCTAAAATAGTTCACTTACTCCCACCTAACCCGTGATAAAATCAAAAACAGCCCACTTTGACCAAATTCAAACGGACACTGCCCACATTTTAACCCACATATCCCAAGTCCCAAAATATATTAACCGACTGGGATGATTGAATGCTATAAGCGTATGCTGGTCATTTGGTACTAAGTGTACATACTCGTCTATTCCATCCCTGTATAAGTAGGTTGTGCATGCAAACACCATTTTTGAGACTCGGCGGAATACCGTATTATAGAATGATAATTCTGCAACGTAAAAACAAAATTCTGCAAAGAAAATGCTCTTCGACGTTTTCATAACTGTACAGTCGTTCACATAATCCATATTCCATTTTTGTTTAATTTTCTTTCACTTTACGTTATCATATTCCATCGTTTTATCTAGTCTCTTGATATTTCGCTCATCTTATGTCTCTATCGTATTATACTCACATTTCCAAATGTACTTCATTCCCCAATCATCTATTTGACACATGTCTATTAAACCTAAGGTCGACCTCTATTTATTTAGTTTACAGTTTACAATTTATTTAGGATAGTAGGCTATATGCCTACAGGAGGTCCAATCTCGCCTTGAATGAATCAACGGATGGCGCTGATACGACGTGTTCCGGTGGGGCGTTCCAATGGTTCACAATCCGATGCGAAAAACGGATCTCCAAACGCAGACGATTCGACCGTGGTTTTTGAACCTTGAGGTGATGTCCTCACAATTGGTTGGTGCTAGAAGGAAGAAATAAATTAGATAAATTAGCTCCAAAATCATTTCTTAGGATACGGTATGCTAGTATTAGGTCACCCCTAAGTAGTCTGTATGACAATGGAAATAAACCCAGTCGACTTAACCTCTCCTCATATGAAAGGGTTGAGAAACCCTTTATTAGCTTAGTTCCTACTCTTTGTACCCTTTCTAATAAGTCTATTTCGTATTTGAAACACGGGCTCGCTGCCTGGATCCCATATTCCAAATGAAATAAGTCTGATATAAGTCGGATATAATATACGAAATATTTCAGCGTCAAAATTCGCAAAAGCTTTGCGTATGGCCCATAATATTGGAAAACCCTTAGTGGCTGCAGCTCTACAGTTTGTTGCTGTTTTCAAGTCATGCTGCACAACCACTCCCAAGTCCTTGTACTCAGTGACCACTGGGAGAGTAATGCCATTCATTGAGTAATTGTGCACGTGACCATGAGATACATGCATAACTACACTCTTGCTTAAGTTAATCTCCAAGGCCCAGTGCTTACACCAATCACTTAACAAGTTTAAATCTTCCTGCAAAGCAAGTTGATCACTGTCATCGTGTAAAGTCCTCCATATCTTGATGTCATCAGCAAACAGTAAGCAGGATGACCTAACTACCGATGGAATCTCATTAACATAAATCAGGAAAAGAAGTGGGCCTAGAATTGTACCCTGAGGAACGCCACTCTTAACCGATTCCCATGTTGATAAAACCCCGTTAACTCGTACTCTTTGTCTTCTGTCCTTTAGAAAGTCTTGAATCCAGTCGGCAACCACTTGATTGATTCCCAGACTACCTAACTTTACTAGAAGACCTGAATGAGAAACCCTGTCAAACGCCTTGCTAAAGTCGATGAATATGGCATCCACCGGTATATTAGCATCAGCTGAGCTTGCCCAACTTTCTCTGGCCAAAAGAAGGTTGGTCAAGCAAGAATGACCTGCTCTAAAACCATGCTGTTCCACAGCGAAAAGTTTGTTCCCTTCAATGAACTGAATGATAGCATCACGAATAATTCTTTCTAGTAGTTTAACAACAATACTGGTCAAACTAACAGGACGATATTTCTGAACTAAGTTTCTAGATCCGGTTTTGAAGACCGGACTAATGATGGCATCTTTCCAGTCTCTTGGACATTCAGACTAGTTCAGAGACATATTGAAGATTACGGACAATGGCACGGCTATGTTTTCAGCCAATGCTGTTAATATACGTGGGTGGAGTTCATCAGGGCCACTGGACTTACCAGGATTGAGCCTTAGAAGCCACTTTAGGACAGTATCCTTTCCAATGTATAAGGGTGCCATTTCCAAGTTACCTTCTGGAAAAGTTACAAAGCTGGTATCAATATTATCAGAGAATACTTGACTAAAGTGCTTGGACAAAGCCTCAGCCTTAGTCAAGTTATCCTCAGCCATGTTTGTCTGGTCATCTTCAAGCATAAGAGGTGGGATAGCATCACTCTTACATGTTCTTCTCTTGATATATGATAAGAGTCTTTTTGGGCAGCCTGGTGAACTTTTGACTAACTGGGTTTCGTAAGCTATCCTTGACTGGTGAATCAAAGTTTTACACTGGTTTCTGGTTTCACAGTATTTCAGCCGGAACTGCTGTAGCCCAGTAGAAACAAAGAGATTCCAGAACCTTTTTCTCCGTCTTAGAAGTGTTATAGCTTGTCTATTTATCCATGATGGCCGGTTTGTTGGTCTTTTAGGAACCCTCCAGGGAATGAAATCAGTGGTAACCCTCTCAAGTGTATTCTTAAATCTATCCCATTCATCTTCAATGGATGAGACAATATTGACTGACCAGTCGGCAGTTGAAGCACGCTCCTTTATAGCGACTATGTCAGCATGCCAAACACTCGGTGGGGATTTGGGTTGAAAACTGACTAAATTGCCAACCCTTAAGTTAAAATCTAACACCCGATGATCACTGTTTGCTAGAGGTGGATGAATAACTAGACCATCCACGTCGTCGTTGTCATGAGTAAGCAATTAGTCCAGCAAGGAAGATCCTTGAGTAGAACCGAATCTTGTACTACCTAAGACATGTTGTGTCAGGGCATTTTCCATGGTAGTCAAGAGTAACCGGGCTGTCAAACTTATTAGTGGATCCTGGAGATGTGACAGCTACCCAGCCTATATGAGGTGCATTAAAGTCACCTATAATAAGACAGCTACTGTGTTTACTCCATTGTTTGAGGTGATCTAAAAATAAAGGGACTTCTATACAGAACACCAATGAGTAAAGTGCCAGTTGCAAAGCTTACTTCAGAGCTAATTACCTCACTTGTCCCACTGTCATGCGCTTCAGATTTCACGGAACGAACATGTAGGGAGTTGTTGATGTACAGAGCAACCCCGCCACCTCTACGACCCTTAACCCTGTCGCTGCGCAAGCAACTAAATCCGCATAGCTCAGGTGTGTCATCTAATCCAGAAACCAGCCATGTTTCAGTAATGGCCACAATACTTGCGCTAAGGTCTTCCACTAATACACCTGGCTCGTGAAATTTGTTCCCGATACTACGTATATTAGTGTACACTACCTTCAGGCTTCCTATGCGGTCCGGCTTATCCACACAGGTCTTGGAAGCATACGTTTCCAAGACCTGACTATTTGAAAACCCACCAGTTTAAGGTTAGTCTCACCATTTTTACGTCTTGTTTCTAGCTAAGACAAAACTTCTTTTCCTTTAAGTCTGTCTTCAAGAGATAAATCAGGTCTGACTGAAATTCCTGACCCGGCAAGCTTGTGTACATTAGCCAGTAGATGATTCCGTTCATCAGGAGAACCTAAGACTACTTTAAGCAATCTACGCTGATTAGAACATTCATCATCTCTTTTGCCTATTCTAATCAGCTTTTTAATCGATACTCCAGGGAAATTCGCTGGGAGCATCTTCCTTATAATACTACTCACTAATTTAAGGTCGTGATCGTGCCTTTTTACGGGACCAGATTCTTTGGACTCTTCTAAGTTTCCAACAATTATGTTAGAGTCTAAGGAGAGCTTGTCGTGTTTAGCAGTGGCTACGTCTTTTCTCACCACTATTGATGCAGCCGGGCTACAGGTGACAGACGTTTGCCTACCTATGTTTCTTCCGATTGCTTATTTTCGTTACCCACTGATCATCTGCCTGCAGTTGCTTCTCAGGGCTGCTGCAGTTTTTGATGGTACAATCGAGATCAGTGTCTGCACCACCTTCATGGTGAACTTCGCTTACAGTGTTCTCTGGTGCTGAGATGCTGTTTGCAGCTTCCGTTCTGTTACCCTTTCGCTTACTAAGACGCTTCGAACGCCTAGTAGGTTTTACTTTCGGGTTAACTGGGATAGTAACCGCCGGTGTGGTAACATTCATGATGGCACTTGCTGCGTCATCTTCAGACGGTCAGTCTGTGTCACTATTACTAGCCACGCTATCATCAGGAAGTTCCATAGCCTTAGACAGTAGTTCGTGAGCCTCCCTTATCAAAGTCATCTTTGGGGAGCAACACATTCTGCACATCCAGTGGGATGTTGGAGCATTACAACGTTTGTATGCAGCTGGACGTAATCCAGTACACATCTTATGATACCACTTTTTAAAGTTATTACACTGTATTCCATCATCTACCAAAAAGTAACACTCCACCCTATTACATTTATGTGGTACTTTTGACATAATGAACTACTGGAACAGCCAAGACAATTTATCCAATATAGACTATATAAATGTTTAAAATCAAAACTTAACAGACAAAAGTCAAGTTAAAGTTTTAAAAAATGTTCTTGAAGTGAATAACACAACAAAAACAGCGATTTGTCAAATACGTGAAAAAAGCACTCCCTTTCATTTATGTCTCATAAATTGTAACTCAATCACATAGATCATTATTAACTCACCTTAGCACTTCCATTCGCTGTCAAACTTTAACACACGCAGGAATACTACTTGTTATTATCCATCGCAATATATATATATATATATATATATATACGACTGTACAGCTATGAGGATTAAATAGTGGAGAGGAGAATTTTCTATGAATTCTTTGTTTTTATGTCTCAACGCGGATTATTAAATTAGTGCTACAACGATATAGTTCGTCCTACTCCTTCAACTTATTCTTTGTCCCCTAAGATGCCCGCATCAGGTAAAAACAAAACAAATTAGATGCGTCATTGTGAAATTCTGAAATTTCTGACTGGATATGTCAGTAACTAACTGTGTGATCCCTGGCCTTATGAGTAAGTATTTTGTTGGATTTGCAACGAAAAGTTTAGTCTTGACGATGTGGACTGAAGCGATTCCTGCTGATATTACTGGAAATCTAGCTGACGAAAAAGTCGGATACTGCAGTATCTCAATGTGTCGATATAGTGATCATTGAGAAAAAGTTCTATGACGAGTGATAATTGTGAAAGGTCGTACGTGATCGGTACTCAGGATGAGGAGAAACGACTCATTGTGGTACTTTCGCCGAAAGTGGATATCAGGTTCCAAGTTTTGTATACTATTGAGTCAATCCACATCAAAAACCTGACTAATACTTAGTCACCATACACTTTACTAAAATCTGTGTATATCAACAGGTAGTTTATTGTTCCTAGATCCCACATGTTTTTCTGACTTATTTTCCATTCTAAACAACCATTTCCTAATCACTCCAAACCGAACTTTATGCCACTCAGATAATGTGGCAACTTGAACTATTATTGTTCGGATCCAGTGAGTCAATCAGTAGACAATAATTACTGAATTACCGAAAATCCGTTTTCATCCCCAATGTTTTTAAGTGATAAATTTTTTTACAAAAAGAGAAGTGCTCACTTTCTGAATGCAATCTGTTACACATACTTTTCGTTGATACCTTTTCTTTTTCAGATATCTTTCACTTTCGTTGAGCTCATAGTGATATTTATCAATCTGAAAAAGCAATGTGTGAGAATGAGCTAGGACCAGCAGAGGATGAACTTTTTGAAGCTTGTTATAGTGGAGATTTTGAAAAAGTTGTAAAATTAGTTGAAGAAGAAGATGCGGATATATGCTGTAAGGTAATTAAGTTTAATTCGTGTTCGTTAGTTTATTGGACAAAAAGAGGTTGATGGCAAAGAATATCTTCTATCTATAGCTTCCTCTTTAGGTTTTACAGTTATATATATATATATATATATGTGGGCTTGTTTTCTCGGTGTCGCCTTGTTAAGACTATGTTGAGAAGAAACTATGTGAGTCTAGGTGTGATGACATGCATAAAAATAAAATGGTAAATTGAAAAGCAGATGAAAATAAGAAGATAATTGCATGCTACAGTTAAAGATGGCTAAAACAATAATAGCTTGTAAAATGCTTTAGGGAGAAAGGTTGGTTTTCAGGTTTATGCAAACAAAAACTTTTGGACGAATTTCTTCTGAACAAACAGGATTGGCTTCTTCAGGTAGATTCTGATAGCTTTGTCCGCATTCAGAGGACGGACTCATAAAACAAAACTAAGATTGGCTCTTCAAACACAAGAGGTAACTTTAAATGTCTTGTTGACAAACCAACTTTGTGTTCAGTATCTACAACAAGTGACAACTAAAACAGAGAGCTTAATCGCTTTACAGGATGATGTTCAGAAAAATGGTTATGTTGAATGCGTCTAATTGTATGTTCAGTGTAACTGCCTCCAAGAAAATAAATTTTCCTAATTTTACGTGAAATTCACTTTAGTGTGACTTATACAGCTTATCACACACAAATGCTTCTTTGAACTGTAATTCTATTGTTCTTAACAACTTGATATTACTCAAGGAAAAGCACCTTAGTATTATCAATAATAATTACTTCCCTGTATACACAGGGACATTTTGTCTAATATTTCTACGGAACTTAGTACATTTAAAACCAATCACATTGTAATTTCATGAATAGCCGTCATTGGTCAGACTAAAGACTTCGTATATGGAAAAAGCTAAATGATCCCGAAGTTGTATGTCAGACTATAGTACTGTATGAGCTGTGTGCTATTCATGATAAAGGTCTTCAAAATAAAAGTCAGGAAGTACGGCATTTCAGAATTAAAATCAAACTCCGTAAACGACTAGGTGTGGCCAGTGAGAGGTGGGGCGCTTTGGTCCTTTTCTCGAAATGCTTTCATAACCGTTATCAGGTAAGACCTATTCACTGCCTCCACGCAAAAGTGATAGGCGCTAGTGCAAACGTCTGATGCTTGCGATCGAACTGATGGACAAGTGCAGGTCTAGTTAGGGGAGCTGGAATACCCCGATTATTCAAAATCAGTGGTGTGTACAATAGGCTCCCGAATCCAAGATGGTCGACTAGAGGACGAACACATGTTTTAGTCACTGAAAACAATGAGAATGTGGCTCCAAATTCTGCTGCACTGTCTTATGGATGAGATTTCGAGTGGAAGGGTAGGGAGGTTTTACTGCTTAAGACAACTATCTGCTTCGGTCTTGGTGTCTAGGTAGTATTTCAACCCTCGAACAAGCTATGGGACAAATTTTTGTGGGGCTCATTTGTAATGTCTATAATGTACAAAGTTAGTGTTTTATTATTATAATGATTAGGCTTCAAAAATGCTTCATTCATTTTTTAAAATTCCTTTGCATCCCGAGTGAAACAAGGATTTCATCTTCAACTGTGAAGTTTCAGTTGTAGTATTAGTATGTGTAACACTTGGGCACTGTGGTAGTAATTCCACATTAGTTTGTTTATTAGTGAAACAGTATTATTTACTGGATGACGTTTCGAACAAAATTTTTTGTTCATAATCATATCAATTATAATCACACGACTTTGACACTTGAGTTTTATGGTTTTCTTTGTTCTGTCTCTCCTATTTGTCATCGGTGGAGTAGTAGAATTTTCCAGATGTCTAACTGGACAGGTGTTGAATCATTCCTGTTGCACGTCTTTGCAGTTAATTCGATAAACAAAGCTTCTGTTATAAATCTCTCCTTCCACTCTGTGACATTAGATTTTAAAGCTATGATCTTATCCCATCCATCCTATTGTATGGTTGTGTGTAATTGCATGCAGTGAGTGGTATAGCTGAACTATTTTCTAAATTTCTTATCTTATTCGGGTCAACTAATCTATGTGTTGCTAGGTTTTTATACTCGGCTAGTCTGACTACCTCTGTTCTACTACTTTCACCTATGTATTTGACCTGACAATAATCATCCCAGCAGGGTATTGGATAAACTAAATTGTTTTGTTTTAAAGGCTTAACAGGCAGGATCCTTCAAACGACAAAGCTTGTTTCTAATTCATTTTGTGGTTGGTTTGAATGCCAACCACTTTTATTCCTGCCAGCATTGTTAAGGATTTTGCGTAAGGTTCCCGACGTTCCTTCCTTGTATGGAATTACTACTGATCATTTAGATTCCTTGTTGTTGGTGTTGTCTTGTGCATGTTTGACATGCATGTCGTCATTAATATTAATTACCATTATTATTGTTATTATTATTATCATCACTATCACTACTGTCATTATTTATTTTATTTTTATTTCCACATTTCCCTACATACTTTCTGACTAATTTATCAGGGTAGTTACTAAGTTTCAAAGCCTCTCTTATATGCCTCACTTCCTGTCTTAGATTTTCCTTCGTGCTACTTAGTTTTTGTGCTCTGTTATTTAAACATTTCACCAATCCTATTTTTACTGACTTATGGTATGGGTATGATTCGAAATCCAAATATCGGTTTGAATGTGTGGGTTTCCTGTAAACACTAGTGTTTAGCTTCCCATCTTCTTCTCTTTTTACTCTAAGATCTAACATTGGAAGCTCCCCTTTTTGACTTTCCAATTCATAAGTGAATTGAAATGCCTCCACCTTTGATTTAATGTGTTCGAAAAATCTATATATATCCTGTGTTCTAACTACAGTGAATGTCATCTACATACCTCCACCATACTTTTAGGGTGGGGCTGAACGTTTCAGTAGCTATGTTTCCCCACCCATCCACGAATACATCTGCCACAACCGGGAATATTGGTGACCCCATGGCAACTCCCTCAATTTATGTATATATATATATATATATATATATATATATATAACAGGAGTGACTCAGCACCCGTCCCAGATATCTGGAAAATTCTACTACCCCAACGACGACAAATAGGACAGATTATTATTATTATATATTATAACAGAGGAAACTATAAAACTCAAGTTTCGAAGTCGTGTGATTATAATTGATATGATTATGAACAATAAATTTTGTTCGAAACGTCATCCAGCAAATAATACTGTTTCACTGCGTGATATATCTAATAAACAAACTAATATGAAATTCAGTTGTAGTAGTTATTTTCGCGATTTTGGATTTCTAACCGTACGCCCAACGTTTCTGCTTTTCCGGACTTACTACCATCGTAGGCAAAGTTTATGAGTGCTTCAACGTCAAGAGTCGAATTTAGACCTATGGCATGGCGGCCGGCAAACATTCTACCAAAGTGGAATATATTCCTTATTATTATTCAAACAAATCGGTACATTAGTAGCATAAATTTGCCTCATAGCTTGTACGAGTGTTGGAATACTACTCAGACACCAAGACCAAAACAGATAGCTGTCTTAAGGAGCCACACCTCCCTATCCTTTGACTTGAAATCTGATCTACAAGACAGTAGAGCAGAATCTGGAGCCAGGTCGTTTATGGTGATATACTTCTGAACTTGTCATCATAATTAATGCTGTCATAATTAACTCTTTGATATTAGAAAAACATTTGTTTTGTAGCTTTTCTACATTACTCTCATTGTTTGAAATCTAATAGGATTCAATGGTAAAATTTTTGATTTATTTATTTCAGTGTTTCGAAACTGGTGTGACTCCTCTAATGATTGCAGCTGGAATGGGATACACATATACTGTCAATTATTTACTCTCAAAAGGTGCGCCATGGAATGCAGTGGATATAGAATATCTATGTGCAGGTGATTATGCTGCGAAAAATGGTCATCAACGCTGTATTGATGCCATACTGAATCATGCAGTTATGTCTGAACTCTTGTTGTCGTTAGCTGTTGATAAAAGTGAATCACTATCTTTAGAAAATATTGATTCTATGAATTACTCAACAGTTATCGAAAATACTAATAGGACTGAGAAGACTGAACAGCTCAATGCCGCTTATCTTGCTAGCCGACTAAAGTATACTGAGGATGGTAAATGCCTGGTGGATACGAATACACAATTGGCTGTTATGATGGATTGGGAAACATCTATCATGGAGAAACATGCAGCATGGATTTGTCATGCAGATGTCGTCGGCAGTAATAACGATAATAAACCGCCGCTTAATATTTTAAATGTTGGTTTTGGTATGGGTATCGTTGATACAGCTATACAGAAATATTCTCCGCATTCTCATGTTATCATAGAGGCACATCCTGAGGCAAGTTTGTTTATTTATTTTTACTAATTATATTACTCCTTTGGGTTTTGAGAACATAGAGCTCCTGCAGCATATCTTCACTTCACTCTGTTATCTGCAGCCCTCTTTAGCTGGCTCCATGATTGCTCATAAACTTTTTTCTCCCCACGTGACCTCCTCCATGTCACTTTTTAACGTTCAACTCACCGTTAGCTATTCAGACTCCACTTGGGCGATGGTCTGGTGCGCGATTTCACTCAGCAGTCTCAGCGCACGTTCAGTCCATCTCCACTTTCTTCTGCAGTTGTTGGTTCAGTGATAGGTTCTTGGTTGGTTCGTTGCCAGAGTTCTCTGTTGCTGATCGTTTCTAGAAATCTGATCTTTAGTAATGGATCCTGCGAAATAAGCTGTTGATAAAAGTCTGAAGCTTGTTCGAAATGTTTTTGGTGACATACCAATTATCTGAACCATATAGAAGCACTGAATGACTTCACATCGGTGTCGAAAATCCAAATCTTCTTCTTGATGCTTAGTGCAATTGATTTCCAAACTGATTTCAGATTAATCAAGGTCTTTCTGTCTTTCAATTCTGACTGACTTTGACATCCTCATCCTTATCTTCTGTAGTTGCAACAAAGCTGTGTAGGTAAGTGAAAGAGATGACTTTTCTGAAATTTTTCCTGTTTGATAATCGTTGTTGTTGTTGTTATTGGTTAGGTGTCTTCTCCATATTTCCTTGAAGTCCTGTCTTTGCTCGCAACCTGTTGACTGTTGCCTGTAGGCCTTGGATTTTGTGTAATACTAGGCATAAATCATCCGTTTAGTTCAGAACTTCTAGAGTCTTCTAACTGACCCAACGGTTTCCTGTCTTGTCACCGTTTATTTATGTGGTGTGGTTATTTACGTATGCATAGAGGTATGAGTAATTGGTATTTCCTTTTCCCTTCGTGTTTGTTTCTTTAACTTTGTGAAGTCAGTCGGTGAGGGGGGTTGTGTGAAACAGCTACACTGATTGAAAGCGCATACAAAGCCATTGCATTCCTCAACAAGCAAAGTTAACTTACGTAAGGTTGGCGAAACCAAAAGCTGTAATCAGTCAATGTAAAGTCTTTGGCTGTTGGCTTGAGCAAGCCGGCTGAGTAGGGAGGTGTATACTGATTTATAACTAAATCTCAGCATTGTTACAAAAGACTCGTGTGGTATTTAACAACTTACCTAATCCCTTGATTGAAAATGATATCCGGCCACCGATCACATAATATGTACACAGTGTAACAGCGGAAAACACGAAGATGTTAACTGTCTTTCATTAGTCACATGTTTGCCTTCTTTCTCCCCTCCCCCCGTTAAGTGGCATTAACATGTAAGTGCTACTGAGGTCATGCTTAGATTGTTAGGCAAGGAGGGGAGGCAAGTCAATTAGGTTATGAGGCTACACTGATTCAGGTGATTAGGACAGGTGTTACACGTGCTAAGCCTATATCTTAGCCGACATACGACTAGGTTTGGGAAATATTTGAGTACAGGTTGTCACAGCAAAACTTGACATCAATTCATGAAGTTTGGCTGGCTGGTTTCAACGTAGAACTTCGCACCGATATGCGGCAGCCATGCTCCATGTAGCACACAAAGCAAGAGAAGAAAGTGAAAAGAAATGTCAAATAGAGACAGTAAACAGAGATGTGAGACAAAGGAATAGTAATAACGAAGAACGATATAGTTTCATTTGAAATCATAAGTCACAAGGAGTGAATGCATCTGCACCATTGAGAACGATTCTGAGCCATATCACCAATTGTCTCAAGCCATTAGTTTTCACCATCTTGAGGACCCCAACCAGGAAGTAGCTTCACAGCCTCGTCGATTGATTTCCCTTCATTACCTAGCACTCAACGCCTATCCACAATATCGCTCACCCTATTATACCACTTCACACGGGAGATAGAACGCAGGCACCTATGATCAAAGACAGCTAGCCTTTTCATGTCTTCCAATGGCCATGTCTCACTCACGACCATAAAGGAGGAAAGAGCGGACTGCTGAGTAGTATACACACCCTTCGGTCGATAGACGGATATCACGTCTACGTCAGAGACGGCGTAAACTGGCATATGCGAAACGAGCCTTCTGTATCCATACTGAGATTTCTTCAGCGACCAACATGCTGGCACTGGCTGATGCAACTTCCCAAAGAAGTGAATCCGTCAACATGCTCTACAACTTCACACCCTATTTGTAAGCTGGGAGTCAATGTAGTCCAGTCCTGTAGCTTCATAATCTTACATTTGGCGGGAGCGATTTGCACGCCGAACATTCGTAAATTGCAGCTCAAGGTGTTCAGAACACTCTGCATTTTGTCAGCATCTTCACCCAGGACCGTATCATCTACATATTCTAAGTCAGCGAGACTTCTATTCCCTGGTAACAAGTCTATCCCTTAGTCGCTGTAGTCAATTAGGGTTAATTCCATTAGACATATATGATGAAATTGAATAGAAATGGGGATGATGGTCATTCCCGACGGACACCACTAGTTGTCACCAGTTTAGATGACAACTCGCCGTAAGCTCTCACCTGGCTGCTTGAGTTCGAGTAGAGTGTCTTGATCAGTGCAATGTATTTTTTCGGCATTCCCTTCACAGCCAAACATCGCCATAGTACCTCTCAGTCGACAGAATCGAATGCCGCTTTCAAGTCAAGAAATGTGACGATTGTCGAACACCGATAAGTATGCCTATGTTCCAGAATCTGTCGAAGGGTGAAGTTATGATTTATACATCCTCTTCCTGGTCTAATGCATGCATGGTTCTCTCGTGTTTGTTTCCCTCGAGCACCGCTTAGTGTATGCATGATTATTGAGCCTGGAACTTTAGATACAATATTAGTCAAGCTAATCCCCCTTTAATTGTCACAGGAAGACTTGTCTCCCCTCTTGTATATGGATATAATTAATGACCTACACCAGGTTGACGGGACTACTTCTGAATCTCAGATACCGCCTAATACCGTGGATAACGCAGACAGAAAACTGTCTCCAGCATCCTTAAACACCTGGAGTCATTCCGTCAGGTCCCGCTGTCTTGCCTCCTTTCAGGCTAGTGACAGCATTTTTAACCTCAGTTAAGGACGGAGGATCTATGTTTATTATTATTATTCAGGGAGGTGTTAGATGCTGGGTAAGTTTAGCGTGGCTGTAGGACGATTAAATTACTCCTCAAAGTGTTCTTTCCAACAACACAATTTACTACCTTCACGCTAAAGTGATAGGCGCCAGTGCAAACGTCTGATGCTTGCGATCGAACTGGTGGACAAGTGCAGGTCTAGTTAAGGGGGCTGGAATACCCCGATTATTCAAAATCAGTGGTGTGTACAATAGGCTCTCGAATCCAAAATGGTCGAATAGTGGACGAACACATGTTTTAGTCACTGAAAACAATGAGAATGTGGCTCCAAATTCTGCTGCACTGTCTTATGGATGAGATTTCGAGTGGAAGGGTAGGGAGGTTTTACTGCTTAAGACAACTATCTGCTTCGGTCTTGGTGTCTAGGTAGTATTTCAACCCTCGAACAAGCTATGAGATAAATTGTTGTGGGTCTCATTTGTAATGTCTTAATGTAAAAAGTTAGTGTTTTAATGAATATATGAAAATCTAGATTTCCGAAGTTAACATGATAAGCTTGCTGTCACTCCTTTATTATTGTTTATAGGTACTACAAAAGATGCAGTCAGAAGGTTGGTATCAACGACCTGGTGTTCGAATTATTGCATCCAGATGGCAAGACGCAGTTGTCACACTAGCCAATGAAATTGAAGAAGGGAAGATGCCAAGATTTAGTGGAATATTTTTTGATACCTACGCTGAAGATGATAAAGATTTAAAGGAATTTAATACATGGTTACCCAAATTACTCTCACTTCCTCCAGGTGAAGAGCAGTCAGTTGGGAATGAGAATGAAGTTCAACCGCTTCCTGGACGCTATTCATATTATAACGGTCTATGTCCGGATAATGTATTTTTTCACGGAGTGGCATGTGAAACTATTCGACTCCACTTGAAAAGGTTAGCTTACGATTTCAATTTCAATCTTTTACCAGTCATTGATGTTTGCATCATGTGTTGTTAATTGGTAGTATAATATGGTGAGCCGTAATGATGTGGTTAAGCGTGTACAGTCTTACGTAAGGAAAGAGAGTCAGTTGAGATACTTAGGACATGTGTCGCTCATGCCAAGCCATGTTAGCCACTGAGATAAGATTGGGTTAGAAAAGAATTAGGTTCAGGTGGTTAAACAATCAATCATTGAATCAATCCATGTGAAGTCTTTGACAATTCGTTTCAATTAGCCAGCCATATAGTTAGCTGTAGACTGTCTGACTGGTTAGGATCCTTGAGATACTAAGAAATAAATGGCCAGGAACTATTGGTGATAAGGTTCTAAGTCGTTCTCAGCGACGAAGATGTATGCACTCTTTGTGATCTCCCGTATCCACTGACCTGTCATCTTTTTCCGTGCATTTCTGCTTATTATAATCCTTCTTGAATGTCTTTTCCCCTATCTCTTGTCCATCTTTTTGTGCTACAAGGAGTATGGTAGCTAAAAGTGCTGCACTTCTGTGCAAATCTCCACCTTCAAACTCAGTCAGTCAGCTGAGCTGCTTTCCGTCATCAGGCACTTGACGTGTTGCATCCTCATATTCACATAGCTGTTGAATGAGGTTAATGCAGGTTTAGGTGACTACTTCGTTGTGTTTGTTGAAGCAGTTTCAAAATCACTTCATGCTCAACGCTGTGTGAGGCCTTTCCAAATTCGATGAAGTTGAGGTGGAGAGTTGACAGGCATTCTATCCTGTGTTCCATGCTGCTGCTGTTGCTCATGATGGTAATGATGATGTTGGCGACGATGCATCGAAGCTTTGCAATTTGATCCTCAAATGATTTGCTTTGCCCGAATCCAGCTTGTTGCAGTCGGACTTTTGCATGACGAGTATCTTTCAGTCTCTGTCTCTCCAGTATGAGGCGAGTCAATATTCCCAGTTGCCTGTTGTAAATGCATGCTTATGGTAAGGTTTGAGCCGAGTCTGTGGAGCACATAGAGAAGCACTAACCGATTTGACAGTAGTCTTGAAAAATCCTATCTTCTTCCTTATACCTAGTGGAGCAGATTTCCACACTGGCATCAGATTAATGAAGGTGTGTCTTGCTGTCTTTTCCGAATATGGCTGTCTGGCTGACTAGAAAGCTTGCTGGTTGACTAGCTATTTCGTTGCTTGTTTGCCTTTGACATGCTCATCCGTGCATGTGCCTGTAGTTGAAATGATTCTCACTAGGGGAGTGAAACAAACAAGTCAATTTACTGCAACTACTCCCGTTCATGATATTTGCAGCTTCATCTCCTTTTTATTCTTCTTGTTATTGCTGCTCAGGTATCTTCACCAACTCTGTCCCCCCCCTGTGTGCACTTGAAGTGGCGTCTTCGCTGCCAGCCTCTTCTGGCAACTTGCTGGTTTTTCTCATATAGATGTCAGAGCTTATATATATATATATATATATATATACCCATGACTGATTGTTTTTCTCAATGCTTTATTATATAATGATATATATTCATATTATATATATTTCTTTTTCTTTTACAGATTAGGATTATGTTGTGTATATGACGCTGTACCAGTTGATGTTGCTGGCCAAGATTTATGGAAGAATGTTGCCCAAAGATACTGGTATTTCGATACATATTTTCTACCAAAGTGCACATTCTATTGCTAAGATTAAAATTATTTTATGGATATATACTTCTGAATTGTTGTTAAACGGTTGTAATCGATCGGTAGGAAACCGTGTTGGACTTAGGCTTCACGCCTGTCAGCACTGAGCAGTTAGCAAGGTGTATCTTCACTCATATCTCTTACTGTGAGATTCTAACCTGGTTTCACCTTGTGTTGCAGTCAGAAACATTACCACTGACCTACCCTGGCTTGCATTTGACTTCCTGTACTGCTGCGATTGATATTTTGACTGGACTCTAGGCGAGTAATTCACGTCATGCATCTAGTCCTTGGTGTGTTAATGCAGATATGAGTGACTATCAGTCGAGTTTGCACTGTGGTCATAATCATGCTGGGTAGTCCGCCATCACAGTACACAGTACACTCTGAACTGATATTTTCAGTTGGTTGAAAGTAAGAGCATCAAGCTGCGGCGAAATAAGGGTGCTTGTGATAAGGAAGGGATGGAACTCCAATGTAGGTAGCTGTCAAAAGAATAAAACCTGAGGATATGATACCTAGTGTAATTGGAAATAACATAAGGAGAAATAGGTAAAACAACTGCTTAGCAAGTCATTGTAGAACGTGCGTTTACACGGAAGTACCAAGAGAGAGCAAGAAATAGCAATTCTAAAATGCTTGAAAAATGACAAAAACATACTAATTGCTAAATTGGACAAGGGTAATACAACATTGGTTATAGAATGACCAGTTAATAAACATATTAGAACAGAAAATTAGAAATCCTGTAGACATTTTTACAAATAAGACCAAACAATCTACAGTTAGTCTTCTACGTCGAATGTAGTCACCTCTGCGGTTTATGTTTATACCTAAAACTAATAATCCTAGTAGAATGTATGGAACTATTAAAATGCATAAACCAGGATATCTCATTAGGCCAATAGTTGACTTTAGGAACCGACATATTCTAATAAATGCTTGTCCTTTGTTTCATTCGACTCAAAATCGGTAAGAGTAGGTTAATTTGCGTTTATATAGGGGAGTTAGGAACCTAACTAGTAACATCAGAAGGTTTCGATAATGAGATCAAGTAAATAAAGAAAATGCTAATTGTGAATAACTAATTACCCACCAGAATTTATACAAAAATGTATGAAGACCAATAAGGGAAATAGAAGTAGTAATGAGATTAATGAGGAAATTTAAGTCTCCGCACTAAGACCATATAAATAGGTAACATTAGAGACCCTACGTAGGATTCTTAATAAGGTTAGAATTAGGGCTGCATATAAAGTCCCTATACCCCAACAATTTAAAAAAAATTTGGTCATCGATGATTGAGTGTCGGATCATCCAACCTCAGAATTGAACACTCATCCAGTCAACTAATTGAGTGTAAAGCACCATTACAGAGGGGACGACCCAGAATTAACAAACCACCCTGAGATCTTATAAGAAAAGCCGACGAAACATCCGGTTTGAATTCATCTATGCTATGTATCCTGCAGTTGTTAGTCTTACACATCGCTTCGAGAATATGTTGGCAGTTGTCATTTTCTACAAAGTGGTCAGAAAACCGTCTCAAGAAAAGACCGTTAAGTCAGACTAAGCTTTCAGAGTAGGACTTTACACAAGACTGCTATAGTTCAGGGTAGAGAAAATAGTTAAAGGGACTACATATAATGGAAGTGTCAGAGAGAACAAAACTCTAACCTTGATATTACTCACTGTATTATAATAATTGGAAGGGGATGCAGAGTATAAATACTTATAGTCAAAGACAGTTAACCTCTCCTATTTTCCACTCTCACAGTCCTAAAAGTGGGCATGGCGAACTGGTGTGTTGAGATCTTGTCATCCACCAGTCAGTCCATTAGGTCTTGCTGACGAAATATCCCAAATAAGTGAAATGGCCAACAAACTCAACTACTTGACTTTCTTTCCATCGTTAAACTAGGAATCAGTCGGTTAAGACAAGTCCTCCACCAGTTTAATCATTATCATGTGACATTTGAAATGGGCGAATCTCGTGACAAAGGTTCAGAGAATTCTTCGCAAAGTGTTCATAAGACTGTTTACATTTTGCCATCCTCTTCAACTAGGTGGACAATATCATCTGAATGCTGCAAACCAACCAGTTTATTCTCTAGTAACAAGTCAATCCTTGAGTCATTGAAGTCTGTTAGGACCATATTTATTATGCAATGAAACAAAAATCAGGGAGACCCTGATAGACGCCACTAGTTGGCATTCTTTCAAACGAAAGCTCTCAATAACCAGTACAACAGTAGCGTGGGTCCGAGTAGAGGTCCTTTATAAGTGTCAAATACTTTCTCAAAGTACCACTGATGGAAACAATGTCACCGCACTTCCCGGTCAGCAGAATCGAATGGCATCTCCAGGTCAAGAAATAGCTAGCCACGATTATTAATAGCAGCTTTTGGTATTCGCAGTGACGATAAAGTCAAAAATGTATTAAAAGTGTGAAATAATGATAATAGTGTAAGTAGCTGAAATTTTAATATAATTGAAACAGTGTCACCATAGATTACAAATAGGAGAGAATGAGAGAAACATTAATTCAGTGAAAAAAAATAGTAAGTCGTAGGTTTCGCGCCTAAAACTATATCCATCATCACATAGGATGCAGGCCGAATAGGGTATTGTTGAGCTTTTCTACGAGCATATCAATCTTTTGTAATGACCTCTACTTCTACATGATGAGATGCAAAGGAAGAGTTGAGAATGGAGGAGGCGTTGAGAGTCAGACAATATGGATTTAGCCAATTTCTCGAATGACTTCAGGTGTCTGTCGTCTTCAGTAGCAATGAGCTGACTAAGTGGCACACCACTTGCCCTACTGAAAACCGTCAATACCCTGCACAATCTAACATAGTCCTTTTTGAGTATTCCAGGAAAGACTAATGGGGAGCAATCAAGTACAATAGGTAAGATGAAAAGTTAACGAATTGTAAAAGTAGAGGTTGAGTGATTCCTAATTGTCTTAACTTCTTAGAGTAGTAGGTTAGATGGAACATTTTCTTAGAGATCGACAAGATATGGGATGACGAAGAAAGATCAGAGGAAAGAACTATTCCAGGACATTTAATGCTTGACTTAGTTTCGTCTTCAGTGACCTGTATCCTACAAACATTTTGTGAACAGACCAGTTCGTGCAGATCACTTTTATGCGTAGAGGTGAAGTTGATAGTTTGACATTTAGAGGTATTTAAGCTAAGAACATTTAGCTCAGACCACTGGCTGATATCCTAGAGAAAGCTCTTCAGTTTGGAACAGTTGGATCGAGACCCAACTGGCAGTGAGACATTCACGTCATCAGTGCGTTTAACGAAGTTGTTTTCTTCCTAAAGAGACAAGTCATGTAAAAAGGAAGGAAAAACAGAAGGGGAAAGAGCAGCACCTTGAGGGAAAACCAGCTTCAGTAAAAAGGTCAAAAACAGATGCGTATACAAGGAGGGTACGTCAGATATATTTGATATAAGATAGCAGCAACATCTAAAACACTCCTGTCCTGTTTATAAGCAAACTGTTTCGCATTGTTAAAACTTTTTAAGAAGGGTTCAAGGTTGGGTAAAAGTAATTTATCCATTAATTCCAAAAAAGGAGAGGCAACTGTAATAGGTCTAAATTTAACATTAATAGCAAGACATGATCTGCGTGCCGGCATAATTTTAATGTCTTTCCATGCCGGAGGTACAAAATTACTGGAAAAGGAGGCATTGAAATTGTTTGTAAGAGGAGGCATCCACATCTCTTCTGAGGACAACAACAGGTACACCATCAGGACCAAAGGTTTGGGAAAGTTTTAGAGATTTGAGAACGTAAAGAGTGTTAAAACCATGAAAGTCATTAACCTTATGATTGGTAGCATTAGGAATGAAAGTGTCAGTAGGAGAGCGTATGAAAGATTTGTTAAGAGCATTTACAGAGGGAACAATAATGCCTTGCTTACCACTGCCAGTAATTTCATTGAAACGTTTCCACATGTTTGAGGGAGTTTTACTTGGTAAAAGTCTTTGGTTATAAATAATGTTCAGACTTGGCATTTCAGGTTTAATCGAGATGTTGATCCTTTTAAGACGAGATTTATCTTTAGACTCGTATCGCCGTTCTTTTTCTCTACCTAGCGTTTTGAGATGAGAAGAGAAACAGTCAAGTCTTTTGAATAGTGTCTGTTGGGGGCAACATACGTCTAGACAGAATTTAAGATAATCCGTTATATTGGTGATTGTATCATCCAGTGTATGCTCAGCTGGTGCTATTCAGCATGCATCTAAGTCTATGTATAATGTCCTGTGAGTAGCATCTCTGTTGCGTTTTCTTGGAACGGTGAGAAAAGATACTTGTGTGCAACTTGTCATATGTTTTAGGCATCACTTGAATAATGCAACGATCAGAATTCAGTATTGGAGCACGTCTGCGTGCTTTATATATTCCAGCGTCATTGGTAAGCACCAAATCAAGTATTTCATCAGGTCGAGTAGTAAAATTGACAACGTTTACATGACCAAGTGATTCAAGGAAAGAACAGTCGCAGGAGTTGAAGTCTCCAGTGACTATTGATAGATAGTTCTCAAGATAAGCGACAGCAAAAACGATAAATTTACCTGCAAAATCAGATGGAGCAGAGAGGGGACAGCCAGGGGTGATGTAAATGTTTGAGATAAAAATGTCTTAATACCTGGATAAGTGTTTGCGGCAACATTCGACTGTAATACAATCAATAAAGTCACTAGAGAATTTGAAGCATACACTGTTTGAAACCAATCACTGGGACCGAATAAAGGTTGCAACCTCACCCCTACATTTCCTTTTGAAACAAAACCAATCTTGTCTAGACAGAACGAAACGATTTAGTGAGACAAGATTGTCGTCATAAGGCTCGTGAAGCCAAGTTCACTGTAGCGTGATTACAGCCATATTGTGATAAGTATGAGAGCATAAAAGAGATTTCAAATACATAATCTTGCTGGGAAGAGAACGGCAGTTGGTGCCAACAGGAACAGTAGTACGATGTATAAGTGTACGATTTAGTG